GGAGGGCGAGGTGGCCAGCGGGAGCTCGGGGCCGCAGCAGCCGGGGCCCTCGGTGGAGTGGGGCAGCCAGGACCCTGGGAGCAGGTAAGGGCCTGGGTCTGCAGCCTGCCCCAGTCTCTTGGCTTTGCCGCCCATGCCTGCCCCGTCCTCCCCTGCAGGGCACCTACCCCTGGCCTTGCCTGCCTCACTGGTGTAGCCAGGGCTGTGCTTTCCTCCTGGGCACCTTTCTGCCCCTGTTTTTACTTTTTATCGTGAGACAGGATCTCATTAAGTCTCCAAGCTGCCCAAACTTGCAGCCCTCCTGATTCAGCCTCCCACAGGGCTAGGGTTGTGGGCAGGTGCTGTCACGCCTGGTCCTGGATATCTTCCTTTACCCCGCAAACTCCAACACTTTCTTTCTCCCTTCCCTCTTTGCTTCTCTCCCTTCCTTCTTTCCTTCCGTGTTGTTTTTCCATTCCTACGGATGGAACCCAGGGCCTTCATGTTGAACCACATCCCTAACCCTTTTTCATTCTTTGTTTTTAGACAGGGTATTGCTAAGGCCCTGCATTGCCCAGGCTGGGCTGGAACTTCTGCTCCTCCTACCTCGGCCTCCCAGAGTGCTGGGATGACAGGCCTGTGTCTCCGTGCCTGGCCTCCAGTGCATTCTTATCAGCTCCCGCAGTCCCGGCCCTCCTGGACTATGGCTCAGCCCGCTCCCTGCATGCATAGCTCACGGTGCTGCCCTGGCCACTGCCCTCCGGGGACCATGTGGCTCTCTTCCCAGGGCCCTGAGTCGGTTCCTGGCCCCTGCACAGTTTCGTGGCTCAGCTCCTGCTTGGCTTCCACAGGGCCCTCAAAGAGGCCGCAGAGGATGCAGATGGATCCCTGGCCCAGCCGCACCAGCACCCAGAGGTGGCGGCCCCACAGGACGGGGGCACTGTCCCTCCTGGGCCTGGGGCTCCTGATGTGTTCCAGACCCTGCAGAGCACCCTGGCCTCCCTGGAGGCCGCTTTCGAGGGGGTGCCAGGGCCCTGGCAGGAGGCGGCCCGCCTGGCTGAGAAGAACGCCTGGCTGCAGCTGGCCCTGGACACACGGAAGGATGCGCTGGCGCAGACGCAGGCCGAGAGTGACACGCTGCGACAGGAGGTGCGGGGGACGAGGCAGGACTGACAGCCACTTCCTGACAAGGCCGTACAAAAGAGCCTAGGCTGGGCCAGGACCTGCCAGGGCCCTGGCAGGAGGCGGCCCGCCTGGCTGAGAAGAACGCCTGGCTGCAGCTGGCCCTGGACACACGGAAGGATGCGCTGGCGCAGACGCAGGCCGAGAGTGACACGCTGCGACAGGAGGTGCGGGGGACGAGGCAGGACTGACAGCCACTTCCTGACAAGGCCGTACAAAAGAGCCTAGGCTGGGCCAGGACCTGTAATCCTCCTGCCTCAGCCTCCCAGGGTGCTGGGATGACAGGTGTGGGCCACCATGCCTGGCCTGGAGCACACGTTGAATATGCTAAAGACACCGGGTCACATCCCGACTCCCCACCCTGCAACACAATTAATGAACTCTCCCTTGCAAGGTGGGTGGTGGCACATACCTGTAGGACCTGCTACCCTCAGGGAGGCTGGGGCAGGAAGCTCTCTCAAGGAGCCCAGGAGTTTGAGGCCAGCCTGGGCAGCATAGTGAGATCCTTTCTCAAAAAAATAACGAAAAAAGGGGAATCATTTTCCCTCCAGAGGGGACTCATTTTCCTGCTAGGAAAGAGGAGTCTTGCACGGCTCAAGGAGAGGAACTGGGTGAGCTGAGGGCCCCGGTTCCTGCCTGCCAGCTGGCGCCCCTCTGCCCTGCCTGGGAGACAGCTGGTGAGCCGTCGTCCCCGCTCTAGGTCCGCGAGCTGCAGGATTCCCTGAGGAGGCTGGAGACTGCCCTGCCTCCCTCCCACAGCCACACAGGTGACCCAGGCAGCAATCCTGGCAGCTCTGCAGCCAAAAGGGAGGCTTGGGGACCGCAGGTGAGTGACAGGTGCCAACCCCTGGTCCCGAGGACCTCAGCATGGAGGAAAATGAGACTCAGCTCCTGCTCATACAGTTGGAGAAGCTCAGCCCGGCTTGGCGGTGCTCACTGGTTATCCAGCTACTCAGGAGGCTGAGGCAGGGGGATCACACGTTTGACCCCATTAATTTAAGTGAGACCCTCAAAATAAAAATGAAAAAACAAGGTGGGTGTGGTCACATACGCCTATAATCCCAGCCCTTGGGAGGCTGAGGCAGGAGGATAGCTGCAAGTTCAAGGCCCACCTGGACTGTCTAGTGACTTTAAGGCCAACCTGAACGTCTCATAAAAAAAGGGCAAACTAAAAACCCAGCTGGGGACCCAGGCACAGTGGTGCACATCTGTCATCCCAGCTCTCTGGGAGGCTGAGGCAGGAAGATCATACGTTTGAGCTCCGCCTGGGCAAATTAGCATTTTAGGAAGACTGTGGGGAAAAAAAAAATGCACAAAGGCCCTAGGTTTCCATCTCCATCACTACCAGGAACAAAAAGTACAAAAAGCCGCACTCAGTCCTGGGCTCCGGATGGTAATTTGGGTAAATCAAGGCACCTCTTCCTGCAGGGCCCCGCCCCAGCTCACCCCCTGCTCCGGCGTCTCCGAAGCGACCCCAGCGCACACACCCTCGG